GCCTGGTGTAGGTACTGCAGTAAGTTGACCTAAGCTACATCGATCAATCGAGCTGGAGTAACGTAACTTAGGTCGACTTACCCTGGTAGTGTAGACATGGCCTTAGTGTCAAGGAAATCTCAAATCACCTACAGTTTAAAAAATAAATAAATAAATAAAAATACAGAGACTAAGTGGTCTCCAAAGAGAGGTGCATTGCACATTCATTCTGTGACTTTCTGCAGGTCTGTCAGGAGATTGACTGAGTTAACTCTTGCATCCGATGAAGTGAGCTGCAGCTCACGAAAGCTTATGCTCAAATAAATTTCTTAGTCTCTAAGGTGCCACAAGTCCTCCTTTTCTTTCTGAGTTAACTCTGTTTGCTAAGGTGCGTCAAATATGTGGAGTTTTAGGTGGCTGTTCTTCATGGCATCTTTTTTGACACTGGTGGTTCCGGGTGAAGGGGGCGCATTCTGCAGTAAAATAGAGAATGCAGTATGTTTCTGAACGTCTGTTGTGATGCAGACTTACTCGAGCATCAGTAGGTTTGCTGCTTCCCCCTCATCGATTTTCCTCCTCTGTACTGTTGGCCTATCATTTGGAAGCTCCTGGGCAGTGGTGAAAGCAGCCCTGAGAGTTTCCAAGACCTCCACCTAGAGACTGTAGCGAAAATAGCATACACAAAAGGGAGGAGGCAAGAGAAAGCAGCACGTTCTGTAGATGCTCTGTTTCTCATTGCTGCACTGAAGGACTAAAATAATCCTGCCTTGCAATTGTCACTGGGATTTTAGTTACCATTTGAAAGAAAAGACTAGCATTCATTTTATTTGGGAACAAGGGTGTTAACGCAGATGAAAATACACAAGCGAATTAGTGCACTGCGGAAGATGAAATGCTTCCCCTGTCAATTCTCAAACACTATTAAATCCGCCCAGTCTAACACCAGTGCTTTGATGTCTGCCTCTTTCTTTGACCAAGGTATGGGAATACAGTATTCTTAACGGTGAGTTACTCGATTTAAAATGCTTGATAGTTGCTTTGCTTTCAGTACTTACTTTATATAAATGTGCAGGCTCAGCACGATTTTCAGGCTAATAGGAAAGCCTTTTTTTGATTACTTGTGTTTTGACCTTTGAGAATAAATAGCTCAAGCTTGCCTTGTAAGAGACAGGTTCCTTAGATTCATTTTTACTTTTTTAATTTTTTTTTAAAATGCGAGTTTTACGGACTTAAAGGAGTTGCTAATTTTCTGTTGTAATTGCAAATAAAGAACTTTTTTTTAATTTAAAACTAAATTGATCCAAGCTGTTTAAAATACCCGTTTTCTGGATACTAGAAAAATAAAACACAAGTAGATGCAGCATTCAGAGTTTGAATGTCTTGTCACCTTCAGAAGAGCATGCTGTCCTCTCTTGGAGGGCTGGGGATGGTAGCACTGAAACTTCTTTCACTGATGGAGGTTCATGCAGCTGATTCTGTAAACAAAACAGGAGCTGTGTCAGCCTGCTGGCCGCTAATCAGACACTCAAACATGGACACAAACCCGTAAGGTACTAGGAACAGAAAGCAAGGTGAGAGATAATATTTCGACTGGGAGACCTCCTACAGGCTACTGGATGCATTTAGGAGGTGATTTCTGGGCTTAAGATTATAAATATATGTACAGAATGTAAAACTGTGGTGAAAAACAGGTAATTGGTTTACCTTCATGAGCAAAGACCATAAGAAGCTTCTCTGAATATATTTCAGATGAAGTATGTTCAAGGAAAATAGTTGGACCAACAAACCTCAGGAAATTCAATTACAATCTCCTAACTTAGAATGTCCTGACTTTTGATGCTGTATATCACGATTGTAAGGCTTTAAATGTCGGGTCTTTATCCTTTTCCATTTTTGAATGGCAGTTCTGCAAAATAACTTGTCATGAAATGCATCAAATGTGCATTCATTGACTTGACTTGCTGTTCTGGTCATTCCTATAAACATTCCTATTTAGGCTTGCAAAAATATGTATTTTGGTGTGAATATGTAATGTTTTCAAAGCATGCTTTTTCCTGGCCAAATAAGTATGGTGATAGCTTTACCCATGTCCTCTGCAGTCAGGTTCTAAAGCCAATTTTTACTTTTCAAACTTGCAGGTGCTATTCCGGTTTATTAGCAAAATTGTCTCCTCCTCACCATGGTTAGCTCAGTTGTCAATGCAAATGCTGACAGCTCATTTCCGGAATGCTTTTTAAAGTATATGTCATCCTGTACATTTGTTAGTATTCAATGTTTTTTGAACCCACACAATATCCATTTTGACTTGGAATGAGGTGCCAAGGCTTTTATCTGATAAATATTTTCCTTTAATATTGCTTATTGAATCATATAGCTTTCTCAGACTTGCAAGTGCTTTACATTAACTAACCCTCAAAACAATCCTATGCAATAAGTAGTATGTCCCTGTTTTACAGATGGGGAAATAGAGGTTTTTAAATTTACTCACCCAAGATAAGAGGGAGTCAGGATTTGAACTTGGGAATTCCTGGCTCCTAGGTCTGCTCATCATCCTCGTTATTATTTATTTGTTTTACCGTCGTGCCTTGGAGTCCTAGTCATGTATCAGAATGCTAGGTGCTGTACAAACACAAAATAAAAAGACTGTCTCTGCCTCTTACAGTCTAACTTGTGAAGGGTGTACATTGAACACCCATACTATTGTTTGTTTACATAAATATTCTGAAATCGTTTTAAAAAAGTAGTCTCAAACATCAGCATTCATGAGAGGCAAATATCAGTTTAGCCAGCAGTGAGTAGGAATGAATGGATATTGTTACTTTTAAAAGGTTGGGGGGGGAAGAAATCAATTTTATGAAGGATAAACTTATATTTTGTTGTTGGTGTATTTAGAAAGAAGCTTATTTCATATCTACATATTTAACTTTAGGATCGTGTTAGTGAGAAATTGCATCATCTCTATTTTCAGTTCTCTAATATGCGGCAATGAACACTGCATATCGGAGAGCAGAACTGAGCTCTGTGTGTTGAACATCCTCCCATACATGCCAGAAGTCTGACTTTGCATCTTTTTCCTTGATATTTGGGGATTTTGCAGCTCAGTTTGGCCTGCATGTTTGAGCTGTCTTGGGATTGCACAATTTTGAGACAGTAGTCTACACTTATAATTGCTGTATATTGCAGTAAATAGAAAACAGGATATTTTGGTAATGACCAGAAAGGGCACCACCCATCTTTTTGGAATAACATCAGAATGATTTTTGCCTAAGATCCACCTTAGCTGTTTGAAAAATGTCTCCCTTCAAAATCACGGTGAAAGGACATGAAATTTCCTGTCTTCCTTTAAATGAGAGAGGCCTGCTACTTTTAGTGTCTGCTTTCTGTTCTCATAACATGGACCTGCCTCTCTGCAGAAATCTGTGAACGTTAAGATAAATATGGAACGTTTTGCTCAGTAGCATTCAGTATGCAAGGTAGCTCCTCAGAGCTCCAAAATGTAAAACAAGAAAGCAGAAACGATCAGGCAACAACAACCATAACAAAAGTTGTGCAGTGCGTTGTTCATCTCTAATACACAAGAATAAAGAAGAAAAGAGATTTTCTGCCTGGAAAATAACTGACGTACTTTTTTTCTGCCAGAAAGTCTTATATTTGTTGCTCCATGGTGAAGTGGAAAGTGTCTGTCTGCAAATTAAATATTAGGTATTGAAGATATTATTCCCAGAATAAACTGAAATATCTCTTCTAGTTAATGGAGAATATAAATATTGTGGTTTCATGGAAGGAAGTGTTTATAACCTGGTAAACATATCTATTTCTACACTGAAGTGCAAATTTTGATTCCCTCATGTACTTATTCTTTTGCTTATGAAGAAAATAGTCTGGGTTTGTTCCTCTCCAGGAAAAATACATACTTTTGCTGGACATTTATTTTTTTCCCCTCTGTGTCTTTGCTGACACTGTCTATAGCGTATTGTGTATTAAAAAGTAACTAGAATGAAAATGCTTTGATGGTTGGTTGAGTTGGATCAGGGGTGGCAAGTTTAAAGGTTAAACTTGAAACATTTTAAATTCTGAATGTTTTTAAATTAAAAATTAATTTAATAGAAGTCTAAAGGAATCCACGCACAACATTCAAAATAATTTATGCTTAGTTATAATTTCTGCAGAGGAAAGATATAACTCAGATGAAAACAAACGTGTATTTGTATGTGTGCTAGGAATTAATATACATTGGTGGGTATGGGCTTAATTTTCATCCTACGTTCGACATTTGACATTGCCTCTCTTGCAAGACCAGTTATGTACATATTGTAGGCTAAATTCCATTTTTAAAGGGATGATCGGCAGAGATGAGTACTCCGTATATAGAATTACAAAACTTGCCCAATTTATATAGCACTCTCAAAGGGGGAAAAAAACCCTTAGTAAATAATTTTAGCAGGTAAAAACCCAGTCTAAATCTGATGAGGAAGTAGTCTGAGAACAGGAATTCCTCTACCTTTTTTTTTTTTTTTTTTTTTTTAAAAAGACAGTCATTTGAACTTAAGATCTTAACTTGAGTGTAGTTGTTGTGGTTCTGCTTCCTTGCATTCCTCAGATGCTGATGTTTGAGCATGTCCACCCGAATAAAACATTTCTGCCTAAAGCTTTCAGATCTGTACATACAGTCCTGAAGAGACAAGCTTTGAGATCAGTATGGGTAATGGGCACATGTCCAGTTCTACTGTTAAAAATGAATGGCAGAGGTCTAGGTGAAATGAGCAGAAATATATATAAACAAAACCAAAACCCCACTATAACCGGCCTTTTTCTGGATGAACAAACAATTTTGGACCTTTTCCCGGTTATGAGCATTTTATTCAGAGAATAAGACTGATGTAGACTGAAATGAGCCTTTGTCAAGCTGTCGGGAAAGATTTTCTGTTTGTACTCCTTAACCATTTATAGTTTTCTTGACTTTTTGAGTAGATGTTTAGAAGAAATGCTGACTGACGGTTTTTTTGTTCTTGGTTATGCAGCGGATATAATTTCTACGGTAGAATTTAACCATTCTGGAGAATTACTAGCAACAGGAGACAAAGGAGGTAGAGTTGTCATCTTTCAACAGGAGCAGGAGGTGAGTGTTAACTGTGCTTAAAATAAGTCATGTATTAAAACTCTTCCCCTATCTGCAAGTGACCTCTTGGAGTGAGGTGTATACTTGTATGAGAAATTGTGCAGTTCCACTGTATAATAAGTATCTGATCATTCTGAGGTGCTGGGAGACTAAACAGTGAAACTCCAAAGCAACTACCAAAAGAACTATCAAAATTGATTACATTATTAGGGTCTTTAAAGGTCTGGTCCTGTTTCTAAATGGTTGTCTAAACAGTTTATAGTGCGAACAAAATTTGACTAAAAACCTTGGGGACCTCTTGAAGTTGTCACTTCAGATAGCTTGCTGCCTTTTGGGGATGTTCCTTAATGCCGGTTTCAGTGTAGCTGTTGGGAAATGAGAAGTGGCTCTAAGGGAGCATGTGGCCAAAGATGGCCCTTTACACTCTAATATATATCAGGCAAAAATTGGTCAAGGTTCTTCTGTCAGCATTGAGTCTTTGCAGCTTGTTTTGGGGTGATTTAAGAGAAGATTTTTTTCTGCCCGCTAAAAGTTACGATGTAAAGGTCTTAACAGCAGAGGGAATTCTTTCCTAAAACTAAACACAAAAGTTCCTTCTAGCCATCACCTTCAGCCCCCAACTAAAACCTCTCCAACGCATCATCAAGAATCTACAACCTATCCTGAAGGATGATCCATCACTCTCACAGATCTTGGGAGACAGGCCAGTCCTTGCTACAGACAGCCCCCCCAACCTGAAGCAAATATTCACGAGCAACCACACACCACCCAACAGAACCACTAACCCAGGAACCTTGATCAAACTGGACAGTCTCTACATAAAAGAATAAATGGACACAAATCAGAGGTCAAGAATTATAACATTCAGAAACCAGTCGGAGAACACTTCAGTCTCTTCGGTCACTCGATTACAGACCTAAAAGTGGCAATTCTTCAACAAAAAAACTTCCAGAACAGACTCCAACGAGACACTGCTGAATTGGAATTAATTTGCAAACTGGATACAATTAATTTAGGCTTGAATAGAGACTGGGAGTGGATGGGTCATTACACAAAGTAAAAAATTTCCCCATGTTTATCTCCCTCCTCTCCCCTCCCCCCCTCACTGTTCCTCAGGATATGTCTACACTACAAAATTAGGTCGAATTTATAGAAGTTTTTTTATAAATCGTTTTTATATGGTTGTCAAGGTTCCTCCCCCACTCTGAACTCTAGGGTACAGATGTGGGGACCTGCATGAAAAACCTCCTAAGCTTATCTTTACCAGCTTAGGTCAAAACTTCCCCAAGGTACAAAATATTCCACCCGTTGTCCTTGGACTGGCCGCTACCACCACCAAACTAATACTGGTTACTGGGGAAGAGCTGTTTGGACGCGTCCTTCCCCCCAAAATACTTCCCAAAACCTTGCACCCCACTTCCTGGACAAGGTTTGGTAAAAAGCCTCACCAATTTGCCTAGGTGACTACAGACCCAGACCCTTGGATCTTAAGAACAATGAACAATCCTCCCAACACTTGCACCCCCCCTTTCCTGGGAAATGTTGGATAAAAAGCCTCACCAATTTGCATAGGTGACCACAGACCCAAACCCTTGGATCTGAGAACAATGAAAAAGCATTCAGTTTCTTACAAGAAGACTTTTAATAAAAATAGAAGTAAATAGAAATAAAGAAATCCCCCCTGTAAAATCAGGATGGTAGATATCTTACAGGGTAATTAGATTAAAAAACATAGAGAACCCCTCTAGGCAAAACCTCAAGTTACAAAAAAGATACACAGACAGAAATAGTTATTCTATTCAGCACAATGCTTTTCTCAGCCATTTAAAGAAATCATAATCTAACACATACCTAGCTAGATTACTTACTAAAAGTTCTAAGACTCCATTCCTGGTCTATCCCCGACAAAGAAGACTACAGACAGACACAGACCCTTTGTTTCTCTCCCTCCTCCCAGCTTTTGAAGGTATCTTGTCTCCTCATTGGTCATTTTGGTCAGGTGCCAGCGAGGTTACCTTTAGCTTCTTAACCCTTTACAGGTGAGAGGAGCTTTCCCCTGGCCAGGAGGGATTTCAAAGGGGTTTACCCTTCCCTTTATATTTATGACAATGGTCGATTGTGTGTGTCTCTACACAAAATGCTCTAAGTGCATTAACTCGGCAGAGTGCTTCCAGAGTACCGAGGCTAGCGTCGATTTCCAGACTGTTGCACTGTGGGTAGTTATCCCACGGTTCCCGCAGTCTCCACTGCCTATTGGAATTCTGGGTTGAGATCCCAATGCCTGATGGGGCAAAAAACGTTGTCACGGGTGGTTCTGGGTACATGTCATCAGGCCCTCCCACCCTCCTTCTGTGAAAGCAAAGGCAGGCAATCGTTTCGCGCCTTTTTTCCTGAGTTACCTGTGCAGACGCCATACCACCGCAAGCATGGAGCCCGCTCAGCTCACTCTCACCGTATGTCTCCTGGGTGCTGGCAGATGCGGTACTGCATTGCTACACAGCAGCAGCAACCCATTGCCTTGTGGCGGCAGATGGTGCAATAGGCCTGAAAACCATCGGCATCATGTCCGAGGTGCTCCTGGCTGCCTCGGTAAGGTTGGTCAGGAGCACCTGGGCAGACATGGGTGCAGGGACTAAATTTGGAGTGACTCGACCAGGTCATTCTCTTCAGTCATGCAGGCAGTCCTATTGCACCATCTTCTGCCGGGCAGGCAGGAGATGAGGATGGCTAGCAGTCCTATTGCACCGTCTGCTGCCAGCCAAAGATGTAAAAGATAGATGGAGTGGATCAAAACAAGAAATAAACCAGGTTTGTTTTGTATTCATTCCCCCCCGCCTCCCTCCCTCCGTGAAATCAACGGCCGACAATCGTTTTGGTGAGGTCTGTCGGGGCACCTTGAAAACTTCAATGGAGATTCAGTCCTGCCTGAAATACCAGAGGGAGGGATAGCTTTGTAGGTTGAGCACTGGCCTGCTAAACCCAGGGTTTTGAGTTCAATCCTTGAGAGGGCCATTTTGTGTGACCGTTGTTTTTGTTTGTCCTTGATGTAAAGCCACCCCCTTTGTAGATTTTAATTCCCTGTAAGCCAACCCTGTTAGCCTTGTCGTCAGTCGCCCCTCCCTCTGTCAGAGCAATGGCAGACAATCGTTCTGTGCAGACGCCAGACCACGGCAAGCTTGGAGCCCGCTCAGATCACTTTGGCAATTAGGAGCACATTAAACACCACACGCATTATCCAGCAGTATTTGCAGCACCAGAACCTCGCAAAGCGAAACCGGGCGAGTAGGCGACCTCAGCGTGGTGACGAGAGTGATGAGGACATAGACACAGACTTCTCTCAAAGCACGGGCCCTGACAATGTGGGTATCATGGTGCCAATGGGGCAGGTTCATGCGGTGGAACACTGATTCTGGACTCGGGGAAGAAAGCACAGACTGGTGGGACCGCATAGTGTTGCAGGTCTGGGACGGTTCCCAGTGGCTGTGAAACTTTCGCATGCGTAAGGGCGCTTTCATGGAACTTTGTGACTTACTTTCCCCTGCCTGAAGATCATGAATACCAGGATGAGAGCAGCCCTCACAGTTGAGAAGCGAGTGGCAATAGCCCTGTGAAAGCTTGCAATGCCAGACAGTTACCGGTCAGTCGGGAATCAATTTGGAGTGGCCAAATCTACTGTGGAGGCTGCTGTGATGCAAGTAGCCAACGCAATCAAAGATCTGCTGATATTGAGGGTAGTGACACTGGGAAATGTGCAGGTCATAGTGGATGGCTTTGCTGAAATGGGATTCCCTAACTGTAGTGGGGCAATAGACGGAACCCATATCCCTATCTTGGCACCGGCGCACCAAGCGGGCGAGTACATAAACCGCAAGGGGTACTTTTCAGTAGTGCTGCAAGCACTGGTGGATCACAAGGGACGTTTCACCAGCATCAACGTGGGATGGCCGGGAGAGGTACATGACGCTCGCATCTTCAGGACCTCTGGTCTGTTTCAAAAGCTGCAGGAAGGGACTTCATTCCCAGACCAGAAAATAACCGTTGGGGATGTTGAAATGCCTATAGTTATCCTTGGGGACCTAGCCCACCCCTTAATGCCCTGGCTCATGAAGCCGTACACAGGCAGCCTGGACAGTAGTCAGGAGCTGTTCAACTACAGGCTGAGCAAGTGCAGAATGGTGGTAGAATGTGCATATGGACGTTTAAAAGCGCGCTGGCGCAGTTTACTGACTCGGTTAGACCTCAGCGAAACCAATATTCCCACTGTTATTACTGCTTGCTGTGCGCTCCACAATATCTGTGAGAGTAAGGGGGAGACTTTTATGGCAGGGTGGGAGGTTGAGGCAAATGGCTTGGCCGCTGGTTACACGCAGCCAGACACCAGGGCGGTTAGAAGAGCGCAGGAGGGCGCAGTGTGCATCAGAGAAGCTTTGAAAACCAGTTTCATGACTGGCCAGGCTACGGTGTGAAAGTTCTGTTTGTTTCTCCTTGATAAAACCCCCCCACCCCTTGGTTCACTCTACTTCCCTGTAAGCTAACCACCCTCGCTTCCTCCCATCAATCACCGCTTGTAGAGGCAATAAAGTCATTGTTGCTTCACATTCATGCATTCTTTCTTAATTCATCACACAAATAGGGGGATACCTGCCAAGGTAGCCCAGGAGGGGTGGTGGAGGAGGGAAGGACAAGGCCACACAGCACTTTAAAAGTTTAAAACTTATTGAATGCCAGCCTTCTGTTGCTTGGGCCATGCTCTGGGGTGGAGTGGCTGGGTGGCCAGAGGCCCCCCCACCGTGTTCTTGGGCATCTGGGTGAGGAGGCTATGGAACTTGGGGAGGAGGGCGGTTGGTTACACAGGGGCTGTAGCGGTGGTCTGTGGCCCAGCTGCCTTTCCTGCAGCTCAACCATATGCTGGAGCATACTGGTTTGGTCCTCCAGCAGCCTCAGCATTGAATCCTGCCTCGTCTCATCATTCAGCCCTCTCTTCAGCCCACCACCTCTCC